GGTGAACTTATTTTGTAAAGGGCTGAGAGTGACTATCTGCCCAGCTATTCCACTCAGCTGTGTTGGGGAAAGCAGCCCTGGACAATATGTAAATGAATGAATGGGCATGAATGTGTCCCACTAAATTTATTTATAGGTACTGAAATTTGAAATTCACATAACTTTCACATGTCATGAAATATTAGTCTTCTTTTGATTTTTTCCAACCATTTAAAAATATTAAAACCATTCTTAGCTTGCAGGTGCACACAATCAGGGGGCGGGCTGTAGTGTGCCGCACCTGGAATACAGGGAATTAGGCCTCAGTGGGTAAGGAAGTCAGGCTAGGAGATCGCCTTTCTCTGGCTGATCTCTTTGGGCAACAATGAGGACAAGAGGAATGTTCTCTTCTGAGAAGCATGCTGGATTTGGAGGGAGAAGAAGCAACACTGGCTTCTCCTTTTGTTAACTGTGCTCCAGTTCTACCCTCTCTCAGCGGATTTGGCTCTCTGAGCACTCCTCCCTGACGAGGTGGGGATTTGAAGGGTAGGAAGGGAATGGCTGGACAGCAGAGGCCAGGTAGGGAGTGGGCAGGGGCCCCGCCCCAGGGGAGGGAGCTGGTTACCAAGATCAGGCAGGAATAAGCCAACTGTCAAGATGGGCTTGGGGATCCAGCGACTGGATGGGAGGGTCATTAGGAAAGCCAGAGAAGTGCCCCATCCTGCCCCAGGGCTGACGGCAGCACTCTGCACAGTACGTATGGGCTGGGTGGCAAACAGGGCCCAGTCCCTACTCCATGGAGTTTGCATTTCAAAGGAGGAAGAAAGACAATAAACAGATACAGAAATAAATATGAAATGGTCTAGGTGTTGATGAATGCTAAGAAGAAAAACGAAGCAAGTGGTGGGAAAGGGATAAGGGAGGGAGTCTGAGGTGTGAGCAGGCCCAGCAGCTGGGGCAGAGTTGGGAAGATAAGGTAGGGGTCAGGCTATGGCCTGGCAGGCTTTTCAGCATGTGAGAAGAGCCCCTGATGTGCTTGTGAATTCTAAATAGTTGGGCGTGGCTGGGGCCCAGGGACCATGGTGGGGCAGGGGTGGGATGGGGCCTGGTCACTATTGTTGGGGGCCCTAAGCCATTTTATTCCTTCTTACTTTTTCCTTCTTTCCCACCATGTGTGGGACAAGTCTTGTACACCACGCCCTAACTTTGTTGCCTTTGATAAGCCTCACCATCTGCAGCTCAATTCTTCAGACCTTGCCAAACTTTAGTCTGACAAATGATAAGAAACTTGGAGACGTACCTCTGGTGGGTGTGAGTTCTGTGCCAGGCTCGCTGCTTCCTGGCTTTCCGCGCTGGAGATCCATATGGGTTGCTCTGGGTTTTTAAAAAAGCGCATCGCCTCATGTCCTCCTTTTTACCAAAAGAGGTGAATCGGGATTTGACAGCAGGCGAGGTACTGAGATTTTTATTTGGCCACGGGACCAAATGCTCGTAGAGGCGAGGCCTCCCTCTTTTAGACAAAGCAATGGCGCTGGGGACGGAGGCACTGACACCGGCTTCGCTCCAGCTGGCACCGGGCCCTCTTGTCTTCTCTCGGTTCTCCCAGTTTTGAATACGGTTAGGTTAGCCAGTGTTCTCTGGTTGTTAGTTGTTCTCTAGTTGGGAGGTTTGTATAGAATTTAACACAGGGCTTTGCACCCAACATTCATTCATTCAGTTAATGTTTGTGCAAAGATCATATTACTGTAATCATTAGTACAGTGATACTAGATATCGTCATTATTATTAATACATTCAGGATGGCCTGAGTGTATGGACCAGTGGTCTGAGGAGGTATTTGCAGACATATCACTAGCCTTCCTTAGAGTGTGGCTTTTTTCCAAGCAGGTGAGAAGAAGACAAATTCATTCATCCATTCAAATAAATATTTACTGAGCGTCCACACTGTGCCAGATGCTGTCCTAGACCCTGGGATCAAGCAGTGAATGAACCTGCTCTTACGGAGCCAGCATTCGTTGGGTGGGGCGGTGGGTAGAAAATAAAGACAAACAGGTGTGACATTGTTGGTGAGGAGAACTTGGAAGAAGAGTATTGGGGGTGGGGAGCCCTAATTTATATAGGTGGTCAAGGAAGGCCTTTCTGACACAATGATAGTTGGCCAAGACCTGAGTGAAGCGACAGTGAACCAGTGGACATCTGGGGAAGAATGTTCCAGGTAGAAGGAACAGCAAGTGCCAGCACCTTGGGGCAGGGAAAGCCACACACTCATGAGGGGCAGCAGCATCTGGTGTGGCCAGAAACGGTGAGTGGGGATAAGCGGTGGGAGCCAAGGCCAGAGGGTCACCAGGAGCCAGTCAGGGGTGGGGTGGGGACCTGGTGGTCTCGGTGAGACGTTACCTTTTACTCTGGGCAGGACGGGAGCCACTGGAGGGCTGTGCACAGGGGAGGGTGTGCTTAGATGTGCATTTAAACAGAATGCCTTGGCTGCTGTGCGGAGTCCGGTGCAGAAACTGGAAGACTGAGTGGGAGGCTGTTGCACCAGCCTATAGGGTATGGGACAGAGGGGGTGAGACACAATTGGATTCTGGAGGCTTGCTGAAGGGAGGTGCTGCGAGGCTGTCCGGGTAGACTGGATATGGGATGTGAGAAACAAGGAATCTGGTAGATGGATTTGCCATTTATTAGGGTAGGTGGAGCAGCTTGGGTTTGGTAAATCTGAGATGTCTCTTAGGGCCTCGAGGTAGGTGTCAAGTGGACAGTTGGATGTGCTAACCTGAGCTTGGAGAAGAGCGCAGGGTTCGAGCAGACATTTGGGAGTCTTCAGTTGGTCACTGAAGCCACGGGACTGACCTGTGGAGGAGTAAGTGTGGCCAGAGGACAGAGAGGGCCGAGGACTGAGCTCCAGGCTTCGAGGGGAGAGACAAGAGGAGCCAGGGAGGGAGACAGAGAAGAAGATGCCAGAGAGGCTGGAGGAGAAGCAGAGAGAGGGATCTGGAAGCCCAGAAGGAAAGGTGCCTGAAGGAAGAAGGGCCCAGCAGCTGTGTCAAATGCTGCTGCTGGGACAGCAAGATGAGGACTGGGAAGCGGCCATTGGGTCTGGTGAAGTAGAAGTCTTTGGTCACCCCGACAAGGACAGTGTTTGTGCAGCGGTGGGGGCAAAATGATGGGAGTGATTTTAAGAGGGAGAATGGGGAGATGCATTGGTGACAATCTGGAGAGGGGATTTCTGTGCAAGGGAACAGGTGACAGGAGGAAGAGGAGAGGCAAGGAGGGGTTCTGTCTGAGATTGTATGTCAGAACAGGGTGGCCTCGGAGTGAGCAGGACAGACAGTGCAGGAGCACTTCCTTGCGTGGCCATAGGGACAGGCTCACGTGGTCGAGCAGCCTGCCTGGCTGCCTGGTGGGATCACAGAGGTTCACCCATTGGAATAGGACAAGAGGCATCTCATCTGAGCATGGAGCTGGGCAGACGGTAGTGTGGGCGCATGGGAGCATTGTCTCGCAGTGGCTTCTGTTTTCTCTGTAAAATAAGAAGCAGGATTTTCAGTGGAGAGGAAGGAGGTGGGATGAGAAACTGGAGGTTAGGAGGGTGGAGAAGGTGGGAATGGCTGTTCGGATGGGAGGTATGTGAGTGTGTGAGCATGCGTGAAGATGATGGCATGTAGGAGTTGACGTGGCCATGGAGGGAGTACCACACAGTGTAGGAGTTGACGTGGCCATGGAGGGAGTACCACACAGTACCACATCCTGGCTGGAAGCCTAGGCGGTGCCTGCGGTACGTTCCCCCCCCACCCCATCAGGCTGTTTGGATGGGTTTGGAAGGGGCAGTGAGTTGAATTTACCTCTGGTTAGGGTCTTGCCAAGAGAGTAGGAGGCAGAGGAGGGGAACAGGGAGCTGAGTATGTATCGAGGAGCCAGGGCAGCAGGGTGCAGGGGTTCAGGTGGACGGCTTAGGAAGGAAGTGGGGATGAGAGGAGCAGAGTGTGGAAGGAGGCAGGAGCCCAGGCAGTGGTCCTGGCAGGGTCAAGGCTGTGGGCTTTGGGCACCCAAGGGAGTGAGCTGGAAAGATTTTAGGGGGGCGGCTGCAGCATGGGGTATGATTGTGCTATCAGTGGTCGTTGTAGAGTGTGAGCGGGGAGTGGTCAGTTTCCTTGTCTAAAATTGGGGGAATGGCACTTACTCCAGGTGGGTTGGGAGGATTCAGTCAAATTGCTCTGGGCTTGGCTCCAGGGAGCCCCTTGGTGTTCTCTGCGTCTCCACAGGGCCCATCCTGACGCCTTACGAGTCTGTGTGCCCGATAAATAGCATTTGCCGAGTTTGGAGAAGATCTCTGTAAAACTTTTCTGTAATATCTTTAAAAAATTCAGAGGGGTTGAAATATAGTCATATTTTCCAGCTCCTGGTAAAAATAGTTTGCATATGGCTGTGAAAAATAAAAATTGTGCAAGTCCAGCTATGCCAAAACTGTAGTTTTAAAGTATCAATTAACAAAAAAGATTTTTCATACGGCCCTAAAAGGGAGTGAATTGTGTATGAGACTTATTGCTTTACATCAGAAAGAGTTTTTTTTTAAATTGCTAAGACCATTTACAGAGAAAATTGCCTTGAAAACATTCAATAAATGCAAAGTGTTCTTTTTTTCCATAAACATGTCATTTTGCAATGCCTACCGCTGTGAGCCTTTGAAAACATTTTATTTTACAAGAAGTATTAAGAAACTTTCACATTTTTATTACCATTTGGTTTTTAACACTAGATCTTTTGACTTTTCCTAAATCATTTTTTATACATAGGTTTTCAAAAACATTAAAACTGTTATCAAAGCCTTTAAGCTCATTGATGTTAACAAGACTGGACTGGTTCAACCACATGAACTAAGAAGAGTTCTGGAGACGTTCTGTTTGAAGTTAAGGGATGAGGAATACAGCAAGTAAGTACATGCAGGCATGGTGAGGGACCACGCAGCAATACTTCTAACCCATTTCCGAATGAGACCTGTTGGGTTCGTTGGATCCGTCTGTCCTCCTCCCTCCTGCCTTCTTTTTCAAAGAGGCACTCACTGGGCTTTCTTCCGTGTTCCTGAAGCTCTCCGTGAATCTCAAAAATGAGAGCTAATGGTTCTCATTCCCTAAGCACCATCCTGGCGGGCCCTCTGGCCTGCAGGTTTGAGTGCATCTAGATTATGTGAGTCATCCGTCACCAATTGTCTCTTTTCCCGCTGGGCACCACGACCTCCATCCCACACATTTTCAGTTCACAGTTGATTTTTACTCAAAGCCTGGGGTTAGGAGAGGAACGACAAATTTCAGGATTTATTCGTTTGTTGATGGGCTCCCTGTTGGCTCTCCATCCTGATATAATAACAGAAACTTAATTTTCCATTGAGGACTGTGTTGCTGAGGTTGGGGGGCTGCGCAGCAGGGAGGTGATGAACAACAGAACATTTAGCTGCTTCATGGTGTTTGAAAACCGCCACCACCTGCTCCTGACTCCAAGGGCAGCGCACGGAAGCCTACATGGGCATTGGTTTGTTTTTTTTGAGCCTCCAATAAACTCCAGATTATTTAGAAGAAGCCAAATGCCTGGCTTCTGTGGCTACTTGAGTTGTGAGTGAAAGCCACTAGAAGAATTATCCAAGTTCAGCTTAATTTATATGGTACCCAGACAAAAGGTCCATTCCCTCTTCTGCCTTTTCCCAAACACTTTTCTAAATACCCTCCAGGCCATTACCAAAGCGCTGAGCCTCGTTATTTCACCCTGAGCACTGTGCTGGAGTTCTAAATTGCTGTTAAAATGGGTGTGTGGCTGCTGCTAGAGGTGGAGCTGAGGAATTTGACCCTGAGGTGAGGAAGTCCAGAGGGCAGTGACTGTCACTGAGCTGCAGGGGCTGAAATCAGGCAGATTTTAGAAAATGGATATTTCCTACTCTTCTGAATACTTTCTTCTTCTTTTTTCCTCTTTATAACCCACCTCAGAATATAAAGGACATAATAGATGTTTTAATTTTTACATCTTTTCCGGCTGGGAAAATGTCCAGAATAAGATCCAAACAAAACAAATTAAATAATTTTGTGCACGCAATTATAGAACAGAGGCAGCGCTCTTCTAAAACAGGCAATCAAAAAACAAAACAGTGTTTTATTTGACAATAAACCTTGTGTTTGGCACTGTAGTCTCCAACCTAGTAAATCTATAAAAAATGTTACTGTCTGTTTCCCCATCTCATAAGTATTGAGTAATAAAGAACTCCACAAATTTTTATTTGAGATTTTTTTTAAGCCTCAAAAACAATGCTGTTTTCATGATAAGACTTAGAAACTTAACATAATAGAATTGCTTTCCTTTAGATAGGAAACACAGAAGATCAAAGGAGACCATTTCTTCAATTGCTTTAATGCTTTTCCCATTGAAGCTCAAGAATATATTCTTTCCTTGAGAAGCTGCTTCAGTATTAACTTTGCCTTTTTAGTTTTTGAGCAGGAAACACAATGCATTTTTGAATCCTTGCTTTTATCTAACAGCTTTCTATTTAAAATCAACATTTGCCTCTTGGTCCTGGTGTGGTAGAAATGGCCTGTGCTTTGAAGTCACACATGGTGGGGGTGAAGTCTGTGCTCTGCTCTCCCTAGTTCTCCGGCCTTGGGGAAGTGCCTGGGCCTCTCTGAAACCCAGTTTCTTTTAAACAAGTGGGAACTGAGCAGCCCACCTTGCAGGGCCGGGCTGAAGGTTCAAGGTAATGTACATAACATGCCTGTGATGCACCTGCACATAGTAGGTGCTCATCTCATGGTGACTATATCATAATCGTGAAGATTCCATGAAGGCCCTTTACTCTTTCATAAATAATTCCTTTTAGGCTGCAGATACTGTCCAGCCTATGTAAAACAAGAGGCCAGAGATAAAATTTACCAAGTTTTATATTTAATCAGGGCTCGCTTGAAACCTATCAGGTTTTGCTTTTCCTTTCCTATCTCACGCCACCCTACCTTCCTTTGCCCTGCAGGCCAGAGCGTTTGATCTAGGCAAAATAATTTATTAACAGCCTTGTAAAACAGACAAACAAAGCACTAAAGGTCAGCCTGTTGCCTGGATGGATGAGTGAGGCACAGTGCCAGCTGGTGATGCTGGAGAGGTTTATGGGATGATTGGGGTCATTCCCTTCTCCCTAAGTTTGGCCTTTCGGCATGACCAACTTGTCTGCTGGTCTTTGCAGGCGTGTACATCCTCCTGTCCAGAGTTCAGGTCCCTGTGACACTGGCCTTGTTTGTTGTATCTGAGGAATGGTTCTGTCTCCCATCCTTTCTTTTTACAAAAAGCCTTTTGAGTTGCTGCATTCTTGTGCAGTACTGAGGCTTCAGTTTTGAAATTTTATCTGTAGAAAACATTACCATGGGATTCTTTCTGTCCTCGATGAATGTGCAGCAGGTACTGTGAATGTGGATGGCCTGGGGATTAAGACAGGGCAGGATTCACCTATGAGCAAATACCGGTTTCAAGGATTGCTGCATTTTCATGGGAAACCGGAAGGCTGGCCTTGAGCCTCTCATCGATATGCCGGCATTTTCCTGGTGTAGCAGACTAGCTAACACTTTCTATATGGCAGAAACTCAAAAAGGAGGACATTAGGTACCACCTTCTGGGTTCTCGAGCTTACCACCTCATTTTCACAAGACAGACTATGGCTGAAAGATGGAGCTATTTAGGGAGATTCAGTGTTAACATCTGGCAGCTATCATATCTAAAGATGATTTTTCTTACTAGAACAATAGGCAAGATTCATCAAAGTGGAAAAAAAGGTATGCATTGAAATGAATAAATGACTTTACTCTTTGTTAAATTTGGAAAACAGAAAAATAACAAATACTTTAAGTGATAATTATAACAATTTTTAGAAAGCAGTACAAAATTAGATAATTATAGAAATCAACACATATGGAGATACTATAACCAAATATTTAAAAACTGTCAATTTTTAGAAATATAATAACACAGACGTTATCTAGAAAACCATTTATCAAGTGGCAGATTTGAATAATACAAAATT